GTCTGAAATGCACTTTCCTAACCATGAAAATACTTAATTTATTTTAACTCTCCCTCTGCCTTCCTGGTATCTTCTTTGCTTTGACTAGCCAAAGCTGGTGATGGTACACTTGAGATAATAGTATGTGGTAATTTAAGAAGTAAAATGGATGCAATGAGCTGTCTTCTATAAACTTGAAGCTTATCAGAGAGTACTGGAAATTGTATCTTAAATAAATACTATAGATTGTGAAATATTTTTAGAACCAGTAGTGAAGATAGCTGCTACTGAATTTCATACAATTAAAACTATACAAGATACAGTCCTGAATAGACAGCAGCTGGAAGATAGCTACCACAAACACTTGCAGAGTCACATAGTTTTAAAGCTAGATTCCAGCTTTCCCCATGCCTGGAGGACTCCTGGAGCCCTATAAGGATCCTAAATTTCCCAGGTCCCCCACTATAACTCCAGTTCAGAGGGCCTAAAGAGTGCCATGCTACATTTTCCTTGGCCCTGGTAGGATTTACAGCCCTTTTGGCTTTCCAAAGTCATATTCCCATTAACTTCCTGACTCCTCTCCAGTTGCAGTTTCCATATTTGCCTCTCTCTGGACATGTTAACATTGGCACAGCTTGTTGTGTCTATCATTAAAATGCACTTCTGGTCCACTTCTCCTTCTGACTTGTTTGCCACACATGTGGTGAACTTTAGAAGGTCTGCAGAGAGTCCAGAATGAGAGTGGGAGCAGGAATCAAGAGTCTCTAGGTCTAATGGGAGTTGACTCATAGAAGCGAGGAAACACGCAGAGCTTCTGATCACTATAAGAGTTACCTGTTCTCTGCTTTGCCCCTCATCTCCAGTGCTGTGCAGAATCCCCTCCAATTGTCTTTCCCAGTTCCAAAGCTTAGTAGCATCTGCGGTACCACAGGGTATCCTGTTTCTCTTTTCCCATTTCAAGTAATGAACATTCAAAATTGTAAAATAATGTAGACCCAAAAAAGACATTTTCCAGACAAAAACATCTTTCATAGTGTCCAGCCATTAGCTCTATTTCTGCATCATCACCATTTGTACATGTTGGTTACGCTGTTAGCTCTTCATGGTAGGATTGTGTTTACACAGTGCCTAGCACAATGTAGGTAGGATCCCATAGGCTTGACTACAATAGAAATAAGATTACTGTATAGATTATGGAGTCACAGCTTGTTTACAAGATTATGGTTCTGTTTGTGCTGCTTTCTCTGCCTTTAAACACAGTTATGACAAGATTTTGACAGAGTGCTGATCAGACCAGGAATAATCATATTCAACACATAATAGTTGTATTCAAACACTGTAAAATTTTGTAATGTACAAAGTGTACATTTGTGTATCTTGTAAATCCTTCCTTGATACCCGTCTCTAATAGCTGTCTAGCAATTAGCACTCTTCTCCTTTATCTCTTACTCTCATCTTTAAAAACTCCTCACTCTTCTTGCCTCTCCAACTATGGTCATTCCCCCTTTCACCTCCAAGTTAATTGAGCAAATGTAACCCACGCACCTAGTGGTTGTGTTTCACTGTCTCATGTAGTGGCATTTAGACCACTGACTGTGAAAGATAAGAACAGGTGAGCTCTACAGCCTAAGCTGCAAGCCAACTGGCTAGATAGCTCAAGCTGTAGAGGCTCCTACATTAAGCTCCAGAGGTCTCAGGTTCAAATCTGCTGATGACAGTTACACAAACTGTTTACAACCACTGTCTGGCTCCTCCAATTCCATCCCAAGCCCTCCCCACTTCTGCCTCTGCTTCTTGCACTCTACTGGAACTTCCCTGGCCAAAATTTCTAGTGACATCTTCCTACCCAGATCTCAGAACCAGTGCTCTATCCTCATGCTCCTTGCCTTGTCAGCACCATTAGCCATGCTTGCTTTAAAATCTTGTTCTCCCTTTAATTCTGCTCTGTTACCTCTCCTGGATCTTGTCTACTTATCAAACAATTCCCTTCAGCAAGTGCTTTAGATGATTTCCTTCCTCCCCTCCCCCATAATTCTTTTCTAACTTTCTGTGGGGCTTCCACAGGGTGCTGTCCTTCTCTTCTCCCCCTAGACCTTATCTTTGGGTAATCTCATTCTCAGACACACATTCAA